TTAAGCAGGTGCTTGAACGTATATAAAAAAAAAAACAAAAAAAAAGAAAATTACAACAACGCTGTTGATAAAATATCAAAGCGTCATGTATATGGAGTTGCGATTAATAATGCCATTAAATGATGTTACGATTTCAATGTCCTCTCCATATTGTATGGTTGTATACACACACACATACCATATACGCGTATACATGTACAGAAAGCCTATTTATTGTTAGATGGTATTGCAAGGACGATCGTTTGATTCCTACATTTTCAGAATAAAATAAAAAAAAGAAAAGGTTAGTAAGATATAATAATAATAATAATAATAATAATAATAATACTAATAATAATAATAATAATAATAATAATAATAATAATAATAATAATACTAATAATAATAATAATAATAATAATAATAATAACAATAATAATAATAACAATAATAATAATAATAATAATAATAATAACAATAATAAGAATAATAAGAATAAGAATAATAAAAATAAGAATAATAAGAATAATAATAAGAAGAATAATAAGACACTCTGACACGTAAGATCATTCTTCTTCTAACAAATAACTTTTTATTCCGTGATAATTGGGAAAAATTTTTTAAATATCAAAATTATGACAACTAATATTTTCGAAAATTCTGGCTAAAAAGATTTGCTTATTATATTATATTTACAAGAAAATAACACCGCATTTGCATCCTCTTACACGCACAATGGGGATATATTATACACACATACGTATATATATATACATACACACACGCATACACACAAATACACACAACACATCGGAATACATTGCATTATTTTATCGTGTTATTTTATTTTTATTCTAATCTTATTATGGTTTAAAAACATGGTGTGTATGGTTACATACATACACGTATAGCGATAAAAAGAAAAAAGAAAAGAAAAAAGAAAAGAAAAAGGAAAAGAAACCAATAAAATAACAGATTTGTAAGTATAGTTAGAATAATTACGTAAGACGAACTCCAAAGAAACTTAGGCAGATTAACGGATTATTGTGTATAATTAATAGAATTATCATCGCAATATCTATTGAGTTAGATGCAACACAAATCTGCGTTGATCTAGCCATATTTTGACGTAGATGTTACTGTATCTTAGGCTTAAATAAAGTTATGAGGAAGATTAATGTACAAATGATAAAATCTAAATTTTTCCATTTATCCTCTGTCACATTTGTGAATATATAATAATTAATAATTTTACAAGGATGGATTGAGTATTTGTTGATTAACAAGTTAAACAAAAACTTGTTTATTAAATTCTCTGTTATTTAATACTCTATAATTTAAAATTAATTTTATTTTAGACTATACTTTCTATTCAATAACTTGTTACACCAAATTATATTAAATTCAAAAGTGATGATTTTTAATAAAGATTGACGAATCGGTAATAAGAAAAAAAAAGAAATAAAATAAATATCTTAAATTATCTGTAATGTTGATGAAAAAAAGAATGAAAATTTTCAAATCGACTTAAGGAAAAAAGCAAAAATTTTTAATTATAAAATTGAAAGCACTTGTAACGCATTGAATTGGGAGAGTTAGGTTTAAATGATCGCAATAAAGGATTTATTTCTTGCGAGCAAAAATATTTTACTTTTTATATCGTAACTTTTAAAAACCGAAAAGAGTAATTATTTAAAAACTTACGTCAAAAGAAATCATTGAGAAAAAGTTAATTTTTATTTAAATCAAAGTCATTAATTATTAAGTTTTGTAGAAATTTGTTGAAAAACGAAATCATTAAAAAATACTAAAATTTATCTATTTTGGTTATGAATAACCATTATAAATAACTAAAATTTTTTGAGTTACTGGTAACAATTATCAATGACAGAAATTATTTTTGATTACGAATAACCATTATTGACAATGGAAATTGTTTATGGTTATGAATAACCATATCAACTAACCATTATCACTGACGAAAAATATTTTTTTGTTATCGATAATCATCATTAATGACAGAAGTTTCATTTTGGTTATGAATAAACAATATTGATGGCAGGATTTTTTTTTGTTACCGGTAATCAATCTTGATAGTTGGAATTTTGTTTCGATTACTTTCGATTATAATTTTTTTAATTATTGAATTTTCGATTATTAAATTGTTTTTATTAATATTATTCATAATTAGTATCAAAAAATAATTAACGTCAACAATTCCAGTAATTAGTAATAGTAAAAAAAGTTTCAATCATTTATAATGGTTATTCATAATCAACATCACTTAAAGAAAGATAGTTAATTTTTATGCTGTAACTTTTAAAATTTAGGTTATAACTAAACTAACTATGGTCTCTGGTAAATTCGAAGCGTTTTTTCTAAGCTTTCTGAATATCTATCTAACATGAACTTTCGTATTTCCCGGTATGTTGCCTAGAATATATATTTACCAACTACTTATTATTAAAAATAACTATTTACAATGCTAGTAACTAAATAAATATCCATATTCAGATGTTGTGTCGGGAATTGGTGACACTGACTATTACACTCTGAACGGTGTCGCCACGGAGCGGACAATTCTTTCGGTTTCCCATAAGTCGTAAACATGGCTCTGGTAAGTCCCATCTTATAGAAAATAATAAATATAAAGAGAAAATATATTAGCTTGTGATAAAACTATAATTACAAGCTGAAAGTTTTAATTATGCTTTCACGTGGTATAATAATGAATGCTGATTTTTTAAAAAGATGGTGTAGATAAAAATAGATAGAAAATGTTTGTCCGCGAAGATATTTTGACGGCTTTGTCACATGTTGTTTCAGAAGTAGAATGATTTTATGTTACAAATGAATTATTGTTTTATTTAATTTATCTCTTTCAGACCGTAACAAAGAAAGCCAAAGGCTCAAGTAGCAAAAAACAAGCCCTTCGTGGTAAGGGCCAAAAAAAGAAAGTATCTCTAAAGTTTACGATCGACTGTACGCATCCTGTGGAGGATAATATTATGGATGTAGCCAATTTTGTAAGTTATTGTAACAATGATTTATATGCTCTATCCATAATCTCTACAAGTCATATAATTATTTTGTCAACAAACATTTTGATTGTGTACAATTCAAAAATTTTGAATATGTCGAGTGTAACAATTCTAACCTTTCATTACTTTACAGAATCATCTATCATGATTTCACAATATTGTTTTAATAATGACGTATATGCTGCTGTTATTTTAATATTATGATTATAATATACATACTATTTATTCCATTTGTATATTGTATAGTCATACATTCACATATACAGTATTTTTTCTTCAGTATCTAACTTTTAATCTGCAATTCAAAATTTCTTATCTGTGTGTTTGACAAAGAAATTTTCAATCCATTATAAATTCTTAATTTACAGGAGAAATACCTTCAAGAAAGAATAAAAGTCAGCGGGAAAACAAACAATTTTGGAAACAATGTTACCATTGAACGTAACAAAATGAAACTTTCTGTTAACAGTGATATTGATTTTTCTAAACGGTATGTATTATATACAAATGATATAATCTATAATATATAAGTAGTTATACTGACTGGAACAATTTTTTTATTCATACAGATATCTCAAATACTTGACAAAGAAATATTTGAAAAAGAACAAATTGCGTGATTGGTTACGTGTAGTGTCACAAGATAAAGAGACCTACGAGTTGCGATATTTCCAGATTAATAGTCAGGAAGACGACGACGAGGAGGACGCGGAGTAAAATTTTATTTTACAAACTATTGCAGAAAATTCTGTACATATTTCTAAAAATAAAATCATAAAAAAATTCTAAGAGTTTTAAATAAATTAAAATATACATATATATTAATCATTAATCAACTTAGATATTTAGGAAGGTTCATGAAATTAGCATAAATAAAATTGGATAAGTTTTATTTTTACATCTGTAAATAATAAAGTTATCGAAAACATTATATATACATACATACATATATATGCATGTATTTTATTGCAACATCTTTGAGGAAATAAGGAAAAGATAAATACTTTAAACTGCATACGTATGTAAGTAGAAAGTGATACTTGCGGAAACCGTATACGTGTCACGTGATACTTGGCGACAAATGGAAACCCTCCATTCGGTGTTTATAACGAACAGGAGCGACTTAATATAAGGTAATATAGTGCCCGAATATTAACACGATCAAAGATATACAACGAAATATATTAAACATTTATATATGTGTGTGTGTGTATATATATGTACATATATATATATATGTTTATATTTATATATAAAACAAAGTGTAAAAAAATTTACAACGACAGATCAGAAAAAATCATCTTTAACAGTCATTTTGATAAATTTATAATACTACCTTACATGTAAACAAAAAACCCCAAAGAATATTTTTAAGGTAGAGGCGAAGTTGATATCTATGTTCGACCCTGATTTATCAGCTTATTCATCTACGATCTTCCTATCATCGATTCGTATTCGGTAACACGTAAAACGTGACTGTGCCAATTAGAAAAACATCATTCAGAGAAGTGATCGTACGTTAAAACCCATTGTAAGATTGTTTTTTCGCATTAAATTGTCGAGTATTATTAACGCAGTAAAGAATTGTGCATTAAGACGAAGCCTAAGTGACATACGGCGATTGTTGTGACAGAAGCGTTGAGAAAGTTGTTCGTTTCATCGTCTTTCTCTTTCTCTCTTTTTTTCCATTTCTCTCTCTCTCTCTCTCCCCTTCTCTAATAGTTTTCTTTTTTCAGTCGATTGAAAGGTCTACAAAAAAAAAAAAAAAAAAAAAAAAAAAAATTGATATTTCGCGCATTGACGTGTAAAAAGGAAGTATTAGACGGAAAAGTATATACATACATATATACATATATACGTACATACTATCCATAGACGAAGGTAGGAGGAAGAACGACAGAGGAGAAAGAAGGAAGAAGAAAGTCGCTGTGTCAGAGAGTTTGTGTCTCGTGCCATTAGCACGAGAGAAACGATGAAGTTTGAATACAAGGAGGGGCATCCTTTCGAGAAGAGAAAGGCTGAGGGTGAAAAGATACGACGAAAGTATCCGGACAGGGTGCCTGTAAGTACATATATATATATATATATATCTCTAAATCAATTCGTCGGACAAAAATTACGTTTCACTGCCAATTTAAAGGAAAATAGATAGACAAACAGACAGACAGACAGACAGACAGACAGACAGACAGATAGATAGATAGATAGATAGATAGATAGATAGGGAGAGAGAGAGATAGAGCGAGCTTGTTGAACGTATGCAAAGATAAACGAGTTTACACGATAACTCTGGCTTTGTTTTTTTCCTATTTTACTTCATTGTTCTCTATCTTTCTTTTTCTATTCCCGTTTACCTTTTTCTCTGTCTTTTTCTTTCTCTTTCTCTCTCTCTCTCTCTCTCTCTCTCTCTCTCTCTTTTTCTCTCTCTCTTTTTCTCTCTCTCTTTCTCTCTCTTTCTCTCTCTCTTTCTCTCTCTTTCTCTCTCTCTTTCTCTCTTTGTTCTCAAACGTTTCAAAATTGACGACGTTTAAAGTACCTTTTATCTTTTTCTACGATTTCTCGTTTTTTTCCCAAGGTCGTTCTATTGCGTCGTAAAAATATATTTTTTTCTTTTTATCCTAAAGAACACATTTTTCTTTTCCTTTTTCTTTTTTTCCTCCCCCTTTCTTTTATTCCTTTGATTTTTCCTTTCATTTCCTTGTCAATCAATATCTGGACTGTAAAATTAAGAATCGTTTATCGTCCAAACATACTACGTACGATTATTCAAGTTCTATCGATCCTATGTTACGCTTAATGCTACGAACTTCTTGTTGATTCGTGATAGAAAAAGATTAAGAATTTTCTTTTTTTTTTTTTTTTTTTTATGTAATTGATTTCAACAAAAATTCTTTTCTTTCTTTTTTCTTTTTTTTTTTTTCTTTTAATTCTCTTTTTATTTATTTATTTGTAATATTTTTTTTTGTTTCAATTGTTTTCAACAAAAATTCTTGTCTTAATTCTCTTTTTATTTCTTTTTTTATTTTTTAAAATTTATTTTATTGCAAATGTGTGAAGAAATCCTTAAAAGTTTCTTATCTAACGGCCATTAATTATATTTCTCAATATATAATTATTAAATTATTCCGAATTCGGGCAACTTGCCAAGAATAGAAATGAATTAGAACATAGAGAAAAATAATGATATCTTGAGTTTTGTTGACTAATAGTTTACATAGTTAATATGATGACAGGTGATCGTTGAAAAGGCACCTAAAGCCAAAATTAGTGATTTGGATAAACAAAAATATCTTGTACCATCTGACCTGACTGTTGGACAATTTTACTTCCTAATCCGCAAGAGGATTCACCTTCGCCCAGAGGATGCTTTATTCTTCTTTGTTAACAATATCATTCCTCCTACAAGCGCAACCATGGGATCTCTATATGCGGTAAAAAATAATAATAGTTTAAATAACATTGAAACAGACACTTAAGGATTTAATTAATTTCTTATTGAAATAATGACATATACAATAAGTATGGTAACTTTAATGAAATAAATTTAATAGCAGTTTTAAAATTGTTTATCAGGAACATCACGAGGAGGACTTCTTCCTATACATAGCTTACAGCGATGAAAATGTGTATGGGCACTAAATAATTGAGATGTTGGTAAATGCCAAAAAAATTAAAAAGGAAAAAAAAAGAAGTCAACAGCAAAAAATCTATCATCTACGATGTAGTCTTCATAGACGCTTTTGAAAGTGTAACCAATTTGACAGCCCTCAGTAATCTGATGATGTTTAAAATTTTAGCGCTGCACTCTGATCTTGCTTCTTTGAAAAATTTGATGTGATTCTCTAATGAAAATGACAGTGCTTTATTTTTTAATTTCAATATTTAGCATTAACATCAATTGCAAAATTATAAAAATAAAATAACAAAAAATATATCAGCGCTAATTATTTTATCGCTCATATTATGTCGTGCGATATTTAAAAAATTAGGAAGTAATCATGGAAAAGAAATATTATTTGTATCGTGTTATTAATTCTTTTTATAATTATCGATGTTTTTAGTGCACTTTAACAATCATATAAAAATTGAATTTAACAAGATAGAAATGATCTTGTATGATGTATTTTAAAAATCTTCTCAAAACAAAATATTTAAACTTGCTATGTGATATCGTTTTCTTGTATTTAGGCTAGTATTATTATATTTACATGATTTGATGTTATTTCAGTTAATAATGAAAAAAAAAGAAATTGCTATCTATTATATGGTAAGGTGGAAAATTTTATGTAACGGCTGGATGTGGGCCAATAAAAAAAGATTAAAAAAGATTGATTTGAAAACTCAATAGGTTTTATGACCATGCTCTTTGAATGCATTTATTTCATTTCCTGTTTCCATTCTAGCTTAAACATGCAATTGTACTTAGGGAGATCTCATTAATATTTAACGTGTTTGTCCATACCTTTTGAATTTTTAACTTGTTTTTCCTGAAGGCATTTTACTTTGTTATTCCTTCAGAAGTGAAAAGTAGTCTTTCTTCTCGTGCGTTGAAATAAACCTTTTTAAAATATGGAAGAAGATAATTATGAACGCAATATTACTAACAGTACTATTTATGAATATACAAGTTCAATTTACAATCTTACTCAAGAAGATAGTAATTGGATAGTTACCAGTTCTTTTATCATTTTCACTATGCAAACAGGTAAATCATTATTGTATTTTAAAGTTATAGTATAAAGCTAATATAAAATAGAAAGATCTATAATTATAAAAAATAAATTGGTGTAGGTTTTGGTATGTTAGAATCAGGATGTGTTTCTTTAAAAAATGAAGTCAATATAATGATGAAAAATGTGGTAGACATAGTTCTTGGTGGACTAACTTATTGGATATTTGGATTTGGCATGAGTTTTGGTGTAAATAAACCCACTAATTCTTTTGTTGGTAGTGGAGGTTTTTTAATTGATCCACCTGTAGACAGTGAACTTATGGGTCCCATTTGTGCTGCATTTTTATTTCAATTAAGCTTTGCTACAACATCTACAACTATTGTTAGCGGTGCAATGGCTGAACGGTATTTCTACACTATAATTTAATACAAATTATGATACAAATATAATTATGTACTTATTTACAGATGTAATTTTAAAGCTTATTGCCTTTTCTCTTTTTTAAATACAATTGTATATTGTATACCAGCTGGGTGGGTATGGGGTGATCATGGATTTTTAAAATCTTTGGGTGTGGTTGATATAGCTGGATCAGGGCCAGTACATCTCGTTGGTGGAATTTCAGGTAAAGTATATTATATAATAGAAAAAATATAGAAGATTATTAATAAATGCTATAACATTATATAAATATAGCTCTTGCATGTGCTATAATGCTTGGTCCAAGACTAGGCAGATATGACTCTGGAATAGATCCTTTACCTTTGGGCTGTCCTGTAAATGCTATAATGGGGTTGTTTGTACTATGGTAATAATAAGCATTAATCTACATCTATAATTTTTAAATGATTTTGTATAAAACATTGTGCATAATACTTGTCATAACAGGTGGGGATGGCTAGCATTTAACAGTGGCAGTACATATGGTGTAAGTGGTCAACGTTGGCAATATGCTGCGAGAGCAGCTGTTTCTACAATGATGGGAAGTATAGGTGGTGGTTTAGTTGGCCTTGGATTTAGTTTGACTAATTCAAATGGGATTGATATTTTGAGTCAAATAAATGGAATTCTTGGTGCATTGGTTGCCATTACAGGTTAATGAAAAAAAACAAATATATCAATATAGGAATATTGAATTTAAAATATTAAATTCTTAATTTTTGTGTTTTATTAATAGGTGGATGTTTTTTGTATTGTGCTTGGGAATCAATAATAATAGGGATGATAGGTGGATTTATTACTTGTTTTTCAATGCCGATGTTAGATAAAATACACATTGATGATCCTGTTGGAGCATCTGCTACACATGGTATATTTATGTTAATGACAAAAATTGCACTATAAAATTACACCATAGCACTATACTTTATCTATTTTATATTATTATGATATTTATATTAGGAGCAAGTGGAATATGGGGCGTTATAGCTATTGGTTTGTTCGCTGATAATCCATATCCTTTAGACACTACCAGTGGTAGAAGTGGTTTATTCAAGGGTTTGCACAGCATATATATTTGTTATGAAATTTTTATAAATATTAAAAAAACAGAGAGAAATAAGTTAAGTAAATTAATAAATTTTTATTTAGGTGGAGGTTGGTATCTGTTAGGTGTACAGTGTTTATCAGTATTATGTTTGATTAGTTGGAGTTTTATTTCTTCCATAATATTATTGTGGGTAAGATGTAAAAAATGAACGATTTAAATTCAGTTAGCTATTTTTATTCAGATTAGATTTAGATAAAATGTATATTTCAGTTAATTGATAAAATCTTACCAATAAGAATGAAAGAAGATGAAGAATTACTTGGTGCAGATTTAGTAGAACATAGAATACGACACGTACAGGTTTGCTTCTATGAGACAAATAATTAATACATAATATTTAAAATTATTAATATTTTATATTACATGTACATATTTTTAGATTGGAGTGAGCAGAGCAATGTCTGCTTTTGATTCTTCTACATTAGTTGATACTTTAAGTAAAGTGCATCCTGTGGGAATAAATCCAGGTAAATAAAAAATACAACAAGTATATGTAATTGATCATATACATATTTCATATTTATTTCTCTTATATATATTATTATTTACAATAGGTCATAATTTATACATTTCAAAAAACAAACGTAAAAGGTATAGAAATTTGATAAATATTAATAATTTACGTACTAAAAAAAAATCTTTGAATTCACCGGTACATGCAGTAACAAATTCTGCAACGTCTATAAAAAATATACCACAATTAGCATGGATTGATTAAAAAATAGTTAAAACAGATCTTTCTCGTGTGAATATAAATTTATTAAAAATGTATGAACATTTTTGATGTGTATCTCATATATGCTTCAAGGCAACATACACAACCAGTACACATTCTGTAATAAATATTCAAATTTTTTTTCACATTCTTTCCTACAATATAATTATCAATTACACATATTAATAAATGGGAAGAACAAAGTTCGCGTAGTATTTACTCTATACGATTTTGCTTAATTATTTTTGTGAACTTTGTAAAAATAATATAATTATAACAATTATTTATACTTCCAATTAAAATATTTTTTTCCTGTTTCAAAATTTGTTGATTTACATATAATTTAACTATCACGTTCGATTATAATGGACGTTTTATATTGAATTTTGTGGCAGGAATTGACTAGTAAATTACAACAATTATATATTTCATAAGACTTTGATAGAACTCTTATTGTTAGACAAAGAGATAAACATAAAATATATTTACAATTTGTAGATATGATAATATTTGATATGTATTATGAGAAAAAATTGATCTCTAAGAAACAAACAAGTTGAAATATCGTATTAGTTATTTAAAGTCATTCTGAAATATAAAACAAGAATGTACATTGATAACATATGTTAATACGAATAATACATTAACATATCACACATACCGTCTTAACTTTCTTTGTAAAGAAATGATTTTTACATGATACAAGTTTACTAAACATGTACGGTACATAAAAATACAATGGAATTACAGATTGAGAAGTCTTAGCATATGTGAAATTTTTTAGAATATCACATTTTCATTATAGACTGCTTAATGCCCATTGGGAGACTTCTGTAGGAAGTCCCGGATAATTTTTGACAGCATCCATTACTTGTTGAGATGTCAAAGAAAATTTATACCTTTGATATTCTTTTTCGATTCTTGTATTTGTATTACTTACAGGTACTATAAACTCTAAATTCTAGAAAATGTATACAGTTCGTATTGCAATGTAATCGTTATAATATTTTATTTAATATAATATCTTACCTTAATATGTTCAAATGCTTTCATAATAACTGGTCTTTGAACAGAGTGAATAAAAGAATTTTGATTTGTAAATTTAACATATCGATTGTAGATACTTTCAAAAGTTAATGGTTCACCATCATATATTTCTGTTTCATGTTTCATTGCTATGATCTGCAAGAGTTGTTTCTTAAAATCATTTATTTTATGTTAATTTATCTAATCTGTAATTCCTATAATATTGCTACTTACTAAACACATTTCTAGTATTGATAAACCTTCAAGCATTAATATTTTATCGTCCTGAGAAAATATTTTACTTGCTTCTACAAAATCATTTACTTCTAATTTTTGATGTTTCTCGGATAATGTTGAAACAGCAACTGCTAAAAAATTTCTGAAACTTCTCTCACTAATATCAATCTGATACATTCTTTTTAACAAGTTTATCATTGTAACATTACTAGTTAAACTTTTAATATATTCATTCCACATTGAACCAAAATGTGGATCTATTGTACAGTCATCATATTGTTGCTCTATTCTATTTACGTTTTCATCATCCGGTAAACTAAGAAGATGTTGAAAAAGTTCTAAACGATCATCAAAAGCAGATGCTGGTTGTTCAGGGGATGATGTGTCACCAGAAAAAAGAAATATTTGCCTATGTGAAAATCTTGATTTAACTCTTTTTTCTAGAAGTTCTATAACATCTAATCTACATGTTATACCCAATACACAGA